TAATTTCGTGTAGTGGAGTGTAGTGGAGTGTAGTTGTGTAGTTGAAGTTGTAGTTGTAGTGTAGTGGAGTGTAGTGTAGTGTAATGTAGTGAAGTGTAGTGGAAGGTAGTGTAGTGTAATGTAGTGGAGTGTAGTGTAATGTAGTGTAGTGTAGTGTAATTTAGTGTAGTGGAGCGTAGTGGACTGTATTGTAGTGGAGTGTAGTTGTGTTGTTGTAGCTGTAGTTGTAGTGTAGTGGAGTGTAGTGTAATGTAGTGAAGTGTAGTGGAAGGTAGTGCAGTGTAGTGTAATGTAGTGTAGTGTAGTGGAGTGTAGTGTAGTTTGATGTAGTGTAGTGTAATTTAGTGTAGTGGAGTGTGGTTGTGCAGTTGTAGTTGTAGTGTTGTGTAATGTAGTGGAGTGGAGTGTAGTGTAGTGAAGTGTAGTGTAGTGTAATGTAGTGTAGTGTAGTGAAGCGACATCTGAACCTCCAAAAGTGGTCCGAACCCCTGTTGTTTTTAACATTTTGACTTCGAAATGTGCTTCGCGCCACAACAGCGTGCACTTTTTCGACATCTGAACCTCCAAAAGTGATCCGAACCCCTAGTGTTTTGTACATTTTGACTTCGAAATGTGCTTCGCGCCACAACGGCGTGCACTTTTTCGACATCTCAACTTCCAAAAGTGGTCCGAACCTGGTGTGTTTTGTACATTTTGACTTCGAAATGTGCTTCGCGCCACAACGGCGTGCAATTTCTCATGTCTCATCTGGCCAGCTGGCTCCGCACCCGCCACTTTAGCGAGCCTACTTTTCGAATCTCCGGAGCCCCAAATCATTGGAAAAACAAAGTGTTTCGCGACTTTCCTACCTTTTCTCGCATCTGCATCTTCTTTCTTCTTACTCTTTCTCTTCTACTCTTCTTTCTTCTAATCTTTCTCTTCTCTCTGCCTCTTCCCTGCTCTGCTTTTCATCTGTCCATATTGTCGGAAGTTTGACTTCTAAACTTCCTTCGATTATCATATATATATATATTTATATTATCATATACAGACATATATAATTATGAGATATATTAGCTATATAGTTCCTTTGGGGGCATCTTCAGGCAATCCGATCTGTTACCTTTCAGGTCACCAAATTTCATTTGTTGCTCCTCCATGCCAGGCATGTTCGAATCCTCATCTGGGATGAGAATCAGGTTGATTACAATTCTCCAGCTTGAGAATGATCCACTTATGATCCACAAAAAGCTGGGTATGCCGAACCCCCGTTCCGATTCTCACAGAGATCCTCAGTTTTTCGGGCAATTGCCATGTGTTTGTTGAGAGGGGTTCTCATCATCCATTGATTTGGGGGCAATCAAAACGACCTCACCATAGATTGTACTTGGAAAAGGTACATCATCCGTGGATTTTTTTTTGTGAAAACACACACGCCCACAATATGTTCGTCAATGTATCATGCTATATATATATATATAATCATATATAATCATATATATATATATATACACCCTCTGTAAACGTTTACATAGCTATGGAAGCCATGCCCCATGGAAATAGATGGTTTACCTATTAATAGCGTGGTGAATTTCCATACTCATGTAAACGTTTACCAGAGGGTATACAACTCCATGACTTTGGTTGGTCTAAATCCCCTGAAAATGATCGAAAATCCACCGTTTTAACGCTTAACTTTGGGTAGTTTACTACCTTGAATATTTTGCAGACATTTGGAAATAGAATGCCCAGCTACTACGAGATGGTTTGCAGCCAAGTGTCCGGCTCAAAAGACATACTACCCATGAAGCTACCTACATGGATACAAACGTGGAATATGCAATACCTGCAGGAAAGGGCCCCCAGTCATCTAACTAGTTCGATCTATTCTTCACAGAATTGGATGATGGGAAAATTTACAGGAAACCCCTATATTTGATGGTAAAACCCATGGTTTCCTGTAGATTTTCCCTTAAACCAATCCATTGAATTCTCAATCCAACAGTTAGCTTAGATATAAACTGGTGGGCAAGTGTAATCCTATACTATAGTCCCATGAAAAAATGGGATACGCCTATTTAAATGTAAGTATGTAGTATCATATAGTAAACTAACTAACTATAGTAAGCAAACCCAAACATTTAATAACCTATATTTAACCGCAATTCAACCGTACAATTGAATATATGTACATGATTTCATGCTAAATTCGCCCAGCGCCCCTCCAGGCTTTGGAGCTCTGAGGGTGATGCCCTGCAGAAGCTCTCAGGACATTCGCAGGTGCGGGCTGCCCAAAATCATATCCCAAGATATTCTCATGAGTGCCACCGCGTAGCCCTGAATTGGCGTATGTATATATATATACATAGTATATTAATATACATAAGTATCCTATACGAAAGATTAAACAACGGTGATAGTGTTTTTGGTGGAATGGTCACCCACTGCCAGCCATTGAAATTTGGTGTGAACAGAACAAAAGGGTCAACAGAGGGTGCTGGATCTTTGGAATCCCATGAACGGGTCTATGTCGTGGATATAGGAACCTGCTGGGGTGCACATCCAAGTACTCCAAGTACTAGGATTTACAGTGCACTTTTAAGGGTATTTTTTTTTTTGGGGGGGGGGGTGCTATACAAAACCCTGCATCTTGAGGGGCGAGCCATACAGTACCTGTACCTGAAAATCAGATTCGAATCGGGCGCCATTTTCCAGCATCAAATTTGAGGTTCCAACTTGTTCAGTGAAATCCAAAAGGGGTTTGAACATGGTGTACCCTCTGGTAAACATACAAAAAACGATGGAACATCACCATTTTCTAGCTGGGTAAATCCACTATTTCTATGGCAATTTGTCAATAGCAAACTATCATAAATCAGCTATAAATCCCATTAAACCGACATTTTCCTATGGTTTTCCAACCAGTTTCCAACCCATTAAACGTTTACCAGAGGGTATACGCCCCAAATGGTTCTTTTAATCAGGGGACCATGATGATTAACCAATGGATTTGGATCCCAAAATACAGAGATCAAAACACCAAGGCGAGACGGCCCTCTTCGGATCAGTTGATGGTTTATATTTTTCCACTATAGCTATAGTAGAATTGTATCAACCTTTTTATAGATCCGATAGTTATTAAGTTAAGTTACCTTAACTTAGCTATCTCCCATGAAATATGGGATTTCTATGGGATTTACCTATTCAAAATGGTGATTTTCTAGCTAAATTCCCATCCAATCCCATGGTAAACGTCGCACAACACGACGTTTTGGCGGAGGCTCTGCACAGCGCCTGCTTTTCACCGAAGGGTGAGCAGGCACATGGAGATAGCGGAGATCCCCGGAGTTCACATGGCGCCATGTTTGGATTAATGGTTAGTAAAGGTTAATAATTGTTAATAGTGGTTAATAGTGGTTAATAATGGTTCATAAGGGTTCATCATGGTTAATGATGGTTCATAATGGTTCATAAGGGTTCATAATGGTTCATAAGGGTTCATCATGGTTAATGATGGTTAATGATGGTTAATGATGGTTAATGATGGTTACCCTCTGGTAAATTTTAACAGTTGGACCCCTGAAAATCACCAATTGTTAGAGGAAACTAATCTGAAAATCACCCCGATGACTACCAGGGTCTATGTTAATTTACTGGAGGATAATAGTGGTTAATACTGTTTAATAGTGGTTAATAGTGGTTAATAATGGTTAATAATGGCTGCTTGGTGGTTTGGAACATGACTGGATTATGACTTTCCAACTTATGGGAATATAATGGGATTATTTTAACCATTGTAAAGCCCATGAATACTATATATCGTTATATCTACCATAAACCAGAGTGAAATCTAGATCTGGTTGGTGGTTTGGAACATGAATTTTATTCTTCCATTCAGTTGGGAATTTAATAACCCCAACTGACCCCATCATTTTTCAGAGGGGTGGCTCAACCACCAAACAGAAATAGCATTTCTGTGTAACCTTGTGGATTAGCATTTGATATGGAGATATGTTTGATGGTAGCTTGGGGAGATTTTTCATGGCCACGGCCGCTTACACGGCTTGCGTGTGGGCCCTAAAAGGATCCGGATTTCCGCGTGGCATGTAGGGAAAATTTATGGAACAACCCCCCCCCCAAAAAAAAAACACACCCTCTGGTTGTTTAACATAGCCATGGAAAATGGTCCATTTATAGATGGTTCACCTATTAAAAATGGTGATTTTCCATGGCTAACTGTTAGTCATAACCAGAGGATAAACACTTCGAATACAATCTGGTTATGAAAATCATTGGGTATTAACTTAACAAAAAAAACAGATAAAAAATACCTTAACCAGGTGTCATTTTCACTTCTTTTTTGGTATTTTGGGGTTGTGAAAAAATTGGCGAATGACCGAGCCGCTGGGATGGCTCGCATGGCTCCACCCATGGCAGATGTGAGATATTTCTCTAGGCTTTATGGAGGATATAGCTATGGTTACTATATCTGGGTTAGTAAGGGAAATCATTCCCAAATGGCCGCAAGATTCAGGTTAGTGAAATATTATAATTTACCCAGCTATTAATGGTTACTATTTGGTTACTATGGTTTTAAATAAAACCCAGCGAAACTTCTAAAGATCACTACAGTTTCTCGCTGGATATTTTCTCCATGATTTGCCCATGGGGTGGGCACGAAAGTGCGCTAATGGCACGTGGGCACGAAAGTGGGCATTGCGCTTGGCTCAATTTGTTTCAGTGTCACAGTAGATTTGCACTTCTTCCCAACAACCTCCAGTAAGACCTGACTTTCTGAATTCATCAAAACCTTAATTTTCTCAGGTTTGTTTTTCAACGAAAAAGAACTTTAGGTTCATTTTCTCTTAACTGGACATGTGTTATGGGTTTTCTAGACCTCAAAAAGATGATGGCTATCCCCAAAAAATAAAAAGCTGATGTCATGATTTACGCCGAACATTGACTGCGCACCATCCAAATCTCGACTCGTCGACTGTGCGACCTGTAAAAAGCAGGGCGCCATGGGATCAGGAGCGAAGAATTGGAGTGGGTTAACTACAGCATGACTCAGCCATGTATATATATAAATATATTATTGTATATATATATATTATTGTATATATATATATATATTATTGTATATATATATATATTATTGTATATATATATATATTGTATATATATATATATTATTGTATATATATATATTATATGTATATATATATATATATTATTGTATATATATATATTATTGTATATATATATATATTATTGTATATATATATATATTATTGTATATATATATATATATTATTGTATATATATATAATTGTATATATATATATATTATTGTATATATATATAATTGTATATATATATATTATTGTATATATATATTGTATATATATATCATTGTATATATATATATATATATTATTGTTTATATATATATATTATTGTATATATATATATTATTGTATATATATATTATTGTATATATATATATATATTATTGTTTATATATATTATTGTATATATATATATATTATTGTATATATATATATTATTGTATATATATATATATGTGTGTTATATATACATATATATATAATATTAGATTATATTGAGGAGTTCACTCAACCACGCGTGCGTCTCGAGGGATATTAGAAGAATAGGTCTCTTAAAATGCACAAAAAGACGTATCAAATGGCTATATTAATGGAAGAAAATGAAAATAAGCCATCAACATGTGGGGTACCTACAAGTCAACATGGGTTTCGATATTGTTTCTTTTAAATCTGTGGATGTAGGCAAAAACTACTCAGTGACACAGTGACTACTTGAAATGAGGGTAGTTTAAAGGATTCTTGGTAGTCAAAATTGATGACTACTGCACAAGAAATCGCAAACAGATATAACAAATGATAGAAACAGAGCCAGAGTCTCTAAGTTTAATATGGAACGCAGCATTTGGGCCACATCTGGGCCGGAAAATCATCATCGGGGACCCATTTGTTGCCATGTAGAATGGTTTCAATAGTTGTCTTGTTTGTTTGCACCATGCAGCAGCGATGAACATATAGATGACAAAGGCTAGAATGACGTGTGTATTGAATTTATATATAATTCATAGACATATAAATATGTAAATCACACTATATATATATATTTATACATACACAATGTGTTCGTATCTAAATAAATACAACACATCCAGACATATGTATATATATATACGCATGTTATTTGTGATGTTCAATATATATATATATATACATATATATATATGATTGAACATATATATATATATATGGATATATTTTACCGTAGATATAGACATAATATATAGATATATACACATACAGTCACATACACACACATTTATGCAATAGCTATACATACAGCAGTGTTTATTTTCCAACCATAGACTGATGTTCATTGTTGGTTGAACACCCTTGGATTGACTGCGACTAAATGGCTCCCACTATCTAAAAAACATGTGTGTTGTGGCCTGTGTTCCCAATTGAGTGGTTTGACTGTTTGATTATACAGTAATGATTCTTATTATTTGGGGAAACCTTGAAGGGGTACTTTGCACTTTAATGTTTGGCAGGAAACAAGGATATGTTAGCCGAATAGGCAAACTAGTGTAATGCCTGGCAGGGTATCCAAGATTGGCCATGTTATCTTGGATGATTTGCCCCTGTTTAATCGTGATTCTGGGTCTCAGTCAATTACAAAAATCTCATGTGAGGCCTCGGACAAAAAAATGAGCTCGTCGAGGAAAATCACCCAGAAATCATTGGTCAACTTTGCAATTTTGAAATCATTCAAAATTCATCCAGATCAATGATGGGAACCCGTACTTTCAGTGTCTAAGGTATATTCATCAACCGTTTTTCAGAGTTTTGCATTTCACCATGAAACTATGCTTGTTCACAACATGGAAAAACATGATGAACCATCATGGTTCTTGGCCAGGTTTTGAATCCTGGTAAGTGGTTTCTATTTCCAATGTATAGCTGGGGTATATCCCACATACAACTGGGTTGATGATCACTCAGCAACGGATTTGATGACTGCCAAATGCTGAACATTTGATCCTTACACAAACACATTACTGGTTGGTGGTTTGGAACATTTGGATTATTATTTTTTTTTATATATTGGGAATGTCATATTCCCAACTGTTACTCACTCCATCATTTTTCAGAGGGATAGGGCTCAACCACCAACCAGCTATAGATATTATCACCTATAAACCATCCAGTTATTTTTCTAGATATATCACCATCAAAAAACCATAGTTTCATATAGGGCTAGGGCGAGCTAAAAACCACCAACCACATTAGATGATCATCGCAGGAGCGAGCAAAGGTAGCGAAGTACAGCTTCGAGGCCGTCAACGTTAAAAACTGCTCGCGGCGAAGGGTGAATTGAATGGGTCCTGGGTCGTTCAAACCTAGGAAAACCTAGGGTTTGAATGGGAAAACCATAGGAAAACCCATAGGAAAATGGTGGTTTACCCTCTGGTACACGTTTACATAGCGAACTGGAAAATCACATTGTTTAATGGATAAATCACCTATTTCGACTGGGCCATGTTCCAGTTCGCAAACTGTTAAATTACCAGGCCGGGTATATGTAAATGGGTTTGTCTGAAGATATGGGATACCCCAGTTATAGCCATTTTAATAGGAACATGATCATAATCCATTGGGTGTAAGGGTACCATATTTTCAGACACACCCAAATGTATCCCCATGTGCTAAAAAAAGTGCTATCAATGGTATCATGTTTTTAATGTAAGCGGTTTTTGTTGCTATATCTTGAGGGTAATGTCCATTGTTTCCTGGATATCTATGATTGGCCATGGTGATGTTCGTATGCCAATAGACACTGAAAGAACCCCAACACAAATTTCTGTCCAAGATGCCACCATGGAAAGTCATTTTCATATTGGACATCACCATTTGTTCCATGTTTCAGATAGTTTGCTTGGTCACATGGCCACTGAGAATTTTTCATCTGGATGTTTGTTAAGGTTTGTCTCAAAATAAGGGAACCAGAAATTGCTGGCACATCCCTTCATTTTCCAAGCAAAATGGTCTGTTGGTGCATCCCCATGTTCCACTTGTCGATTCTTTAGACATGGGATCTTTTAGCATCTGCCAATAGACCTACCCATCCAAATCTATGCAAGGTGGGCCCGAGTTCGAAGTTGGTGAACCCCGTTAGCTCTAGTTCATTCTAGTTCTATTTCCATATATGTCCTATAAACCCTAGCTAAATCATGCTAAATCTAGCTAATTCACCAAATTCTCTCTAGATTTCGTGAGATTTTCGACAGGCACTGGGAGCATTAGCAGCGTGAGCACAGCAAGTTCCGCCAGCGACAGCGGTTTCTTGGGCCCAAAAAACGGTGTGGCTTCCGAGGATTTCTCCCAAGATTTCGGAGTTTTCGGAACAGGGTAATGAAGTCGAAGCATGCCGAAGCTGGAAACGATAAATGGATTTAATGGGATTAAGCCATGGAAGAATGACTGGTGGTTTCAAACACTTGGATTATGACTTTCCATTTCATATATATGGGATGGAATAATCCTTCCCATTGACGAACTCATATTTTTCAGAGAAACCACCAAGCAGCAATTGAAACCACTAGCAATTTCCCAAAGAGCGCTTAAGCACAATTTCAATAGACCATAGGCATCAGGTAAACGATCGCTTCTCGGTGTTCGAACTCTGACAGTATCCGATCCCATGTTTGACTGCAGCTTGGTTTGGAACATGTTTTATTTTTTCAGATATTGGGAATGTCATAACCCCAACTGGTACTCACTCCACCATTTTTCAGAGGGATAGGGCTCAACCACCAACCAGCTATAGATATGTCACCTATAAACCATAGTTATTTTTTCTAGATATATCACCTATAAATCATCTAGTCATTTTTCTAGATATATCACCATCTCAACCATAGTTTCATATAGGTAACCATAGTTTATCTGGTGGTATAGCTATAGTTTCAGAGGGGTAGGGCGAGCGAAAAACCACCAGATATCAGATCCCTTAAATTCGCCATCAGGAAGCGAGCAGCTGGCCCTGTGTGTGGCCAAGGGCAACTTGCCCAATGAGATGCTTCAGAAGGCCACGCCTGGGCGACGGGGAATGATGAACTCATGGGAGACATAAGCCAAAAACTGCTTGGAAACTGCTTGGAAACCATAGGAAAATGTTGGTTTTTTCATGGGATTTATAGCTGATTTATGATAGCTAATATCTGGTAAACATACAAAAAGCTGTTGAAAATGGCCCAGTCGAAATAGTGGATGACTACCCATTGATAGCATGGTGATTTTCCATTGTTTTTTGTAAACGTTTACCAGAGGGTAACCATGTTTTTTTTAGTGGGAGATATATTACGACGTATCATGCTGCTAAACGTTCATTGGCTATCCTATACACATAATTAATCCATAATTAACCCCATAATTTAATATAATTTATGATAATAACCAATAAATACCCACTAATTATGGTTATAATACTAAATACCATGGGAATTATGGGTTATACAGTTATACCATGGCTATTATAACTATAATTTGCTATTATACCCACTAATTCTAATTATAATAGCCAATAACGAAAAATAGGCGAATATGGGAATTAATCTAGGCCAATACGACCTCACTGGAATGATGGGAATTGTAAGGTGAATCATCTCCAAATGGCCAACGCCTTGATTCAGGTCAGTGAATTTCAGTGAATTATTCTAATTTAACAAATGTAATGTGAATTAATGTGAAATAATGGTAATTTAATGATTATTCTAATCAGGTCAGTTGATTAATGTCAAGCTTGTCCATATACAGTCAGTAAGTATCACAAAAAAATACGAAAAAAGGAAGTTTGGGGAGTATCCCCCTAATTAATAAACCATGTTTCTTTTCAAATCCGGGGATGTTATTACTTTACCCATCAAAAATGGTGATGACTTGGTGCCTATCACGATGGTTTTTGAAATTGGGTGACTCCCACATACTGATTAAATATGATGTAAACAGAAATTCTCATGCGATTTTTGCATGAAATTGTTCCATCAGTTATTAGATTTAAAATGGATTGTTTTTTTTTTAAGTCTGGGAAAATATCATTGAAAACACCTGTTTTTCTGAGTGATTCTAGTGGGATTTAGCCATCCGTTGAATATGGTTTCCATCCAGCATGAATGGTTTTTTTGACTCGCGTTTGACTCGATTGCTGCTGGATCCGAACAACTTGACTTGACGTATGTTGAAATTGGGTCCCAAAGTGACCCCGTGCAAAAAAATCCGGCACCCCGTGGGGAAAGAGTGCCTACAATGATCGGATCGTGTCCACATCTGAAGCTGTTTTACATGTGGTATGATAGCATGAGTAGCCAGACTGATTGTGAACGAATTGTTCCTCAAGCAATGTTTTTTGAGTGTGACATATTCTGACAATATCTCAGTTTTCAATATTTAGCTTAGTGATACCCAATGTGTTCAATAGTGGCCTCGGACCACAGGTAGACCCCGTGCAACTCTTTTATCGCACACCTCTGACATTGGAGAAATGTCCGTTTTCCTGTTTGATTACCAGAGGGTAAATGGATGTTACCTGGGATTTAAGCACTGTATATCATGGATGCAAAAGAATGATACTGTGAGAACCAACTGGACATATGACAATCATATTAGTTCTTGGGGTAGAACAACTCAGTAATCGGATTATCATAGTGATACATATACAGTATATATATATTGTTTGATTTATATATATATATATGTATTGAATTGTTTTGATATGTTCAACTAAGTTGATGATGGGTGAACCTTGAATGGCTAGTTTGTTGGAAACCCAGTTCCAGTTCGGCTTTGGGAAGCATTCGGAAGCGCACCGCAATAAATTTCAGTTCAATATACCCTCTGGTTATTTAACATAGCCATGGAAAATCACCATTTTTAATAGGTAAACCCAGGTAAACCATCTATAAATGGGCCATTTTCCATGGCTATGTTAAATAACCAGAGGGTATAGTAAAAAATAGTTTAATGATGTCTAAAAAGAGCGTTTTTCAATCACCACATTATCTACTAAAACTAATTCTGGCGCCGAAGTTTGCACTCGATTGAGTGATTTTATCGATGGATTTCCTCGAAAGATTCGGACACATCAATCTTCACCCAGCAGCTTTAAGAGGATGAGCTTAATATCTGGTTGGTGGTTTGGAACATGAACTTTATGACTTTCCATATATTGGGAAGAATCATCCCAACTGACTTTCATATGTTTATATTTTTTTCAGAGGGGTAGCTATACCACCAACCTGAATATGTAGTTTCATCAGCACAAGCAGGTGCCTACATTCGAGCTCAACAAGACATGAACGCAGTGACTGCTCAACATTGAGCAGGCAAGAACTTGTTCTTGATGCTGAGACTCAGGACCAGATGGCGGCAGCGAAGCACATTGCAGGAGCTCGGGATACAAGTGGCTTCGCCCCGCTCAGCACATACGAAAAGGTTTCCAGCCTCATGTTTTGCGCGTTTTGGCATGCAACGCCAGATACTTATTGCAAAGAGTGAGAGCTCTGAAATATAGAACCTTGTCGAACGTCATAGCAGATTATATTTTGTTGTGAGCAAACCATTTCAAAGTCTACAGCGACCTTGGAAATTGGAATGGTAGAGGATCGAAGTGCCTTTCTGACAGTTGTTTGCAGGTTAAGTCCCAATAAGCCTAAATCGCATAAATTCATCAATTCCATATTTGTTTTCACATGTTTTCAATGCTAGACCACCATTTGCTATTGGTAACATCTGAATATCGCCGCAGAAATGGGCAATTAAGTTGCAAGTTGATTGAAAACCCATTATGACATAGAAGAGTGTTCGCAACCCCTGTTGATTTTTGATGATTTATGACTATACGGACTACGGTTTATGCTATCCTTTGTATTGTGGGCATTCTCACAATCCACTGGGAAATCCTTCTCAATAACCGAGTTCTTGCTGCAGCAGTTACGACAATGTCTAAGCTGATCTGTTGATGTTCCATGCCTACTGTTGCTTGTATTTGGATGTACCCTCTGGTAAACATACACATAACTATGGAACATCACCATTTTTCATGGGAAAACTCACTATAAATGGTGATTTTCCATAGTTTTTTGTATGTTTGCCATAGTTTACCAGAGGCTATTTGGTACATTGACTTCCTACCCCCCATCCTACCCTCGTATTTCTCCAGTGCCAGGCTGCGGCGCGCCTGATCCGAACGGAGCCCGGGCGGCCCGAGTCCTTCGCTATTCCGGCCCGAGACCGGGAGGCCGGGCACGGGCCATGGAGGATGGCAGGGGCAGGGGATGATGGCAGGGGAGGATGGATTGGGATGGATTAAGGCCATCCAAGGTGTGTGCCACTATAGTGGTGTATATGTATAATTATGTATATATATATATATTATTACCAATAAATAAAACAGTTATATATCCAATAGTGATAATATAACTATTTTGGCCACAGGGTATGGGACTTTGACCAAAATAACTCTTCAATGGGGGAATATATCACCAAGCGTGTCATTTGGGGGTGGGCTGAGGTGGTTTTAATGGGTACAACTACGGTATGTTCATCTCCATATGGGATATGGAGCCCCTTCAATTATGGCAAGAAAAAGCCCACTGTTCTTGTTGCTTCCACTGCACCCCCTAAGGGTGATGGATCTTGATGGCTATTGCAACCTTAGCAACCTGATTTTAACTACCCTCAGGTTATGACTAATATAGCCATGGAAGCCATGGCCCTAATCGAAATAGATGATTTTCCCAGCGAACTAAACCTCCATTTATGGTTGGGATTGTCCATGGCGAACTGGCAATGTCATAACCAGATGGTATCTGTTTAGGCTACTCAGGTTGCCACGAAAAAATGGTGCCATCAATGGGAGATCTCCAGGATCCTGATATATGGTAAGTGCCTCCAATTTGGGTTCCTGGAATGGCCATTGATTACCATGTTTCATGGGATCAGTGACCATAACCCATATATTTTTTTTATTGTATATCATGTTTTGATCATGGCATATATGGTGTTTATGTAGCGACAATGGGGATAGTATCCAGAAATGATGGTTGATGGTTGATAGGGTATTATAGAGAGCTATACTGTACCACCTGGTATACAGGATCATCGGGTATTTAACCAACACACAAAAATGGACATGTCTCCAGCACAAAAATGTTAATTTAAAGGATTGCCACCTGGCAAATCGTGGTTAGTTAGGTACTTTGAGAATTGAACCATCCAACATGGAGGGAGTTCACCAGGAACACATGGGGAGGTAAGCGTCAAAAAAATGGGGGAACCCAACTGATGGGTACAATGTGTGGAGGATTTGGATGAAATTGTTGAATTATGCGGACTTGGTTGTTGGAATCAACCACAATTCTTGGACATGTTATGATAATATTTGGATATCATGGGATACAACCAACAATTTATAGGGATGATCCATGATATACTGGCGCTATATTGAAGGATATTGATGGAGAAAAACTTGACCGCAACGGATAACCCCAATTCAATTCTGAAGTATAAGATAGTATAAGTATATCATATAGAAATCACATGAATTAATTTACAATTAGAATAGTCCTGGACATGAAAAATGGACTATACAACCACTTTCACGCTGGAAATTCCAGCTATGATCCATTTCACTGTTTCAACTGATATGCATATATACGTATATATATATATTTATATTATTATATATATATACTATAAACGAGTTTATATTTCAATCGCAGTGTTCCCATTTTTTGTAGTTGGCCTCAGCTTTATTCGAAACTTTTCGTCAGGCCACTGGAAAGGCTCCCAGCCGTGGTGTGCCGTTGAAATATTTAGCCTCATGCCCAGAGGTGTCTCGGCACGGGGAAGTGGTGAGCGGTGGTGTCTGTTTGTCATTGGGGTGTTTTCTTTGAGGATTTAGCTTCAATTTCCCATAGCCATGGAAATCATCAGTGTTAATGTAAATCATCTATGAATGGGCCATGTTCCATAGCTACTACTAGTAGTATATTAGATTATTTGTACATCAACCAACAGATGGTATAAACCAACAATATGGTGTCTTTTAGGGGCATATTATGGGAATGGGATTTATAACCAACAATCTGATAACATCTGAGTGGGATATCAATTGAAACATGGCGATATTCACCAACTATGATCAACAAAAGAAGTGCGCGATGATACGGTACCAAAATACCAAAAGAACAAGTTTGTACGAGATTCCCTTTAATCGAACTGGGGGTGGTCACCGTTGAATGCGCGGTTGAGACCTCACGGGGTCGATGTTGTTTTGAATTGGATGGGGGGAATCATCCCCAAAAGGCTTTTTAAGTCATCCGATTTGTGACATATTCAACTTTTTCCCCGAGGATTTGTTTGTTTGATAGGAGATGAAACATCTTGTTGGATGCACTTGGTAGGCGTTGCTGGATTTTTGTTGTTGCCCCTGTTCGGCTCAGACAGACTTTTCGGAAGCAACTGAGTGGTGTTTGGGGTATCATCAAACGATAAATGGATTTAATGGGATTAACCCATGGAAGAATGACTGGTTGCTGGTTTCAAACATGTTTAATTTTCCAGAATATATGGGATAATCCTTCCCATTGACGAACTCATATTTTTCAAGATAGTTAAAACCACCAACCAGGTGACATTGAATGGGACTTATTGAGATTATATAATATCTGGATGAATTTGATCATGACCTCATGTGAGGTACTTTGATCACTGGAATGATGGGAATTCTAAGGGACATCATCCCCAAAATGGAGGTATGAAAACAGTTATTTTCAGGTTAGTTAGTTATAGTAATTTAGCCAGAAAGATGTTCCAAGGGCTATCAAAGGTTGGCCGGAATTGCTTGAGCGTCATTTGGGGTGACACACCTTGGTTCACTAGTGACTCTGTACTGGTGACTATGATAGTTTCGTTTGGCCACACCCATCTCACATTGCTGGTCATAATTATATCCCATTACTATCCCATTAAATCACCATTGTACCTGATGTGTGTTCCTTCAAACCCCCATATCCCATTTAAATTTACCCGGAAAGACAGCCATCATTTTTACTGTATCATGGCATATCCCCAGAGTGTGTTTTTCCATACTACGCACGTAAGGGAACTGCGCATGTTTTTCTTTGCTTCGCAGGTGGCATGGGAATTCAATGGTCAACTGCAGCCGCTGATTGGCGCCGTCAATCGAACAGGCAGGTTTCCTTGAAAAAACAGTGAATGGCAACACGGGTTGATTGATGGCGAAGGTACCCCACCCAAATGGAGGTTTCCATAGTCATGGGACTACCCCCAAATCATCCATTTCAATAGGATTTTCCATTATAAAACATCCATTTTGGGGTACCCTCCATTTATGGAACCCCCCAAATAGTGATGATTTGCCACGAAGATGGTGTGGTAATGGCTCGGTTTGAGCAAAAAAAGGACCAGGTGGTGCCCCTGAGCCATCGCGATAGGTTGGTTATAAGTAGCTTAGCAAGTTTTTTTTAAAGAAATATTACTAGGACCATACTGAAGGATCTGGTTGGTGGTTTGGAACATGAATTTTATGACTTTCCATATTCCATATATCATATATATATTCCATATATCATATATATATATAGGAATAATACTCCCAACTGACGAACTCATATTTTTCAGAGGGGTTAAAACCACCAACCAGTGAAGGATATACTTACCGGGGTTATAAACCAAGGTTTATAACTGGGGGGGAAGTGAAGTTTCCCATTCCACTGGTGAATCATCGTATTCCCATAAAGAATTGCCATCAAAAATAGGCGGTAGACTCACCATCCTCACACACACCCATAGAAGTGAATCTGTTTGATATGTTTGATATATTTGATATGTTTGATATGTTTGATATGTTAGGCCATGTTGAGTTCGATACAGCCATCATACGTATGTGGCGTCACAGGGTCGCTTTGAGGCACATCGCATCCCTTGGTCGTTGCTAGTCGGTGACCTGGGAAGGATAGTGAACTGTAGTCAAAGCCACTGTCAAACTGAGGTGAACCCCACAAAATCATGGTTTATTTTTAAAGTGACATTTTTTTTGCACTCAGAATAGTCCCATCCCATACAAAACAAATATCAAACAGCCGTATCAAACAGCTGATGTTCCCTTGCCTTCCAGATGATCCTAGCGATGTCTGGTGAGCTGCACCTTGGTTTTCTATAGAAATGGGATGACCCCCACGATCATTTTCTGGTTGGTGATTTGGAACATGAATTTTATGACTTTCCATATACTGTATTGGGAATAATGATCACAACTGACTTTCATATTTTTCAGAGGAGTAGGTATACCACCAACTAGTTTTTGAGTCTTGAAACCACGAACGAGTGATGGCACGCTGAAGATCATTTCTCATCATTTTTCTATATGGACGTGAGAAATTGGGATTCCGGGTGAGATTTTGGGAAGATTTTTGACTGTTTTTGGCAACTTACACTCTGGGAAAGGAACTGCGGCAATGCAAACAATCCATGTTGAATATTGACCGACCTTCCCATGGTGCCTGGAACGATGATTGCAACAACTACAGTTATGGCCATTGATTAGTTATAACTGGTTATACATGGGATTATACATTCTATGAATGGGGTTTTGTTATAGTAGAGCTGGTAAAGGGTCCATAACTCTAGGAATGATAGCTGCGACATTCGGTCAGGGATTGGTCAGGCACCAGTGAAGCAAGTGCTTAACCTATGACGAAAACATCATAAAACACAAAGATGATCTCCACTTACACAGCAGTGCTGTGGGGATTACATAAGTTAAGAAAAACTATAATATGCCGGACACCATAGTTTTTCGGAAGCAGTGAAGAATTAGACCCTAACACAAACAAACAATACACATCATGATGCCTGTGCAGGATCTAGATAGGCATGGAGGGAGCTTTGATTTGGTAGAATTCCAGAATTGCTGCTGGCAGTTTTACACCAGTACATTGAGATCATTGAGTATTACATGGTAATAAACCACCTTGTGGATCCTGATTGTGCTTCAACACGCTTGATGCTGATACATGTTGATGCATTGATGGCCATACCAGACCTTATGTTGGGACCCACATTCTCAGTTGAGAGGGAGATCCAGACTAACGTTTGTCTGAGAATAGGGTATATCAATTCCATTTATTGGCTTATCATTATGTTCCCGTTGTTTGATAGCCATTTTAGATTGTTTTTCCCTATTGTTTGATAGCCATTTTTGGTTGTTTTTCAAGCCATTTTCAGAGACACATCCGGGCCGTGTCTCAAAATCTCTTCATAGCCAGGCCCATCTCTTCAGAGCTT